TTTTTTAAAAAATTTATTTATTTATTTGTGTGTGTGTGTGTGTGTGGCCAGCTCAGCCCACCAGGGGGCGGGGCTGGCTGGCATGTGGTGCTGGGGGATTGAACCACAGTCCATGTGCTTTGCTAAGCTTGTTCTAAGTAGGTGCTTTAGACCACTGAGCCATCTCACCAGCCCTAGAATGCTTATTTGGCTCCAGGGAGACAATGAATGCTATTTCTTTGTGACACCAGCTGTGTCTAGTGGAGACATGAATGTCAGTGAAGCGTGACTTCACCGTGGCAGCCTTACTCAGGATAGGCCCACTGGGGTCCGAGTTCTGCCACCACCTGAAAGGCCAGCTTCCCAGCTGTTCTCCCCAGCTGCAAGACATGCTGGTTGAAGTAGGCAAAGATCAGAGCAGCTTCCTGAGACAACAGGCAGGGAGGGAGCAGGAACCTCTCCCTGGAGGAACCCTATACAGAAGCCTCTACCCAGCTGCACCAGGAAGCAGGCTGCACCTCCGGAGAGGAGGCCAAGAGCAAAGGTGACTCCTTCCCTAGACAGAGACATGCAAATGGCTCGCCTCCGATCCCCACATCAGGGAGTTGCAGGTCACCCGATGATCTATTTTTAGCTATTTCTGTATAGAATTTGTTTTTTTTTTCTTTTCAAAGTTTTATTGATAAACATATAGCAATGAGACAGTTTCAAATCAAATCAAAAGTACAGTTTCAACAAATAATACACTGCATATATTCTTCTTATTGGTTAATTGCTGTACAAGATGCAGACTTGTGATCCTACTTACAAACACCATTAGAAAAAATCATTCTATTCATTAAGAGAATGCAACTATATATCTATCCAACCACTTTGAATACACAGATACAAAATGGACATTCATAGTTATACCCCAATGTGTTTTTTAAGTTCCGTTGTTGAATATTATAGGTGTGTAAACTCAGCAAAATATTCTAAAAGAGTACAGAAGCCCATAATAGCATTGGGTCTTCTGTTTAATTGGCAATGTCAGAAATTATTGACGTGAGTCCCCCACAGCTCAACATAACAACATGGCTTTACTTCCTATATTTCATCTTCATACTTTTCTACTGGATGGTTAAGACCAAGGTAAAGCAGAACCTATGCAACAAGAGTTGTAGCTTTTTGGTTTGAGAAGGTCAGTGAAATGCCCTCAGGATTTTTAATTTTATTCATTTATTTATTTGAGAGAGAGAGAGAGAGAGAGAGAGAGAGAGAGAGCGAGCGAGCGAGCAGCTCAGCCCACCAGGGGGCGGGCTGGCTGGCATGTGGTGCTGGGGGATTGAACCGCGGTCCCTGATGCTTTTGCTAAGCTTGTTCTAAGTAGGTGCTTTAGACCACTGAGCCATCTCTCCAGCCCCGCCCTCAGGATTTATCCTGAGATCCTGTACCTCAGATTGTAGAACCTTTGTCAGTGCAGCCATGTGGATGAGTCACGGCCATTGCTTGGCCAATGTGCTCTCTGTGAAAGCCTGAGAGAGTGTCTTCTCCTCATGTGACTCTCCTTAGGCACACTCCATGTCATCGATCAATTTCCTCTTTGGCCCCATAACCTTCTTGATCAGAAAATCTGGGACACTACCAAGGTACTTGACGTTACAGTACAAGTTCTCATATGTCCTGAGTCTTAATTGACCTTAGAAGGGTAGGGCCAAAATATTGGCTTTCCTTGTAGCCCTCCTTTTTCTCTAATTTTGGTCTGCAAACTTAGTTTGTTAACCATCCAGAAGAAAAGCTTATTGTTATTATCAAACGATTTACGTTATCAAGCTTAACCTCACTATTTCACTACATTTCAAACATCTTAGGCATAATAAGGAACAGGTATTTTTCATCAAGTATTGATATGTTGAACCTTAAGTCCCTACATAATATGATAAAGAACATTTAAAAATTAGATTATATTTTAACAATAGGATAAAGAATTCTATGCTTCTCATGTTTGCACATAAGTCCAAAAATCTCACCATATACAACCTTGATGCAGGACTGTCCCACAGTATTCCTTTTCCTGTCTCTTGCTTTCATTCACCACCCCCTTCTTCTTGAACATCCACCTACCCGAGAGACATCTTAGCAGTAACTGGCATGTCATGACAAGCAGCCCGTGTTCAGAATACCACAATGACAGGCGCTCCCAATATGAAACCACTATTACAAATTACCATCTGCATCTGTATAGAATTTGTAAAACCTTTGGGCACTAGGCTTATCCTCATCCCTGAGGTGCAATGAATAATGAACAGGAACTAAAACGCCACACCCTCCTCTGATGAGCTCCCCTGGCGCAGGGATGCTTGGTGTCCGCACACTGTCATATGTGACCCACAGAGCCTGTGAAGAACTGAGAAGCAGGGGTGCCTGGCTCTCATTCCTGGCCTGGCACTTACTTGCTGTGTGACTCTGGCCAAGTCTCTGTCCCTCTCTGAGCCTCAATTTCTTCACACATGTATAAGAGTAAGGAGGAACTGGGGGTTTCTAAGGGTGTGCACATCTTCCCAAATCACAACTCATCCTAAAAGCTGATGCAAGGCATGGGCACAAGAAGTGTGGACAGCCTATGGCAGCCAGCTGTCCAGAGGATACCTGAATGGCTCATTCACTTTCAGCACTGTGCTTCCAAGGTCTATTTAGCTAGAGCTGCAACCAACCACTGAACATCTGCTATGTGCTGAGAGATCTCAGTAATCACTTCTTCTTAATCAGTCCTAAGAAACCACTGTCCCCAAGCTGCAAGTGACAGGCACTGTCCATCTAGAAGGAGGGCTGTGTGGCCACCAACACTTGGATTTCACCCATTTCCACTTCCTACCGGAAGGCCCTTGAGCGAGTCCCCACCTTCTTAGCCTTCATGGCTCATCTGTACAGCAGGGATACTTGTGGCTGCTGTCTCACGGTGGCTCCACAGCCTGAGAAGAACAGGAACGAAAGCCCAGAGGAAGCGCTCAGGGACTATGAACCATGGACCTGGAGCCTACACTGCCACTGCTGCTGGCCTCCCCACCCCCACTGGAGAGGAGGAAAGGAGGCCTCGTGTGCCCAGATGTTGCTCTCAACCCATGTTCCACGCACCAATCAGAGATGAGAGAGGCAGGGGAGCAATGGGGTCAGCACTGAGGTACAGGGTCGCTGTGTGACCATGTCAGGCTGCCCCTTAGCTTCCAGTTCTCTACCAAGAAATCAGAGCAATCACTGGAGTTGATAAAAAGCCGTAGCACAGTACCCAGGGATCAGCAGGCCATAGATGACGGTTCACCCTGCCTGGCCACAAACTACTTTGTAAGTGAATTCATTTCATCTTTATCACAAGAGGTTTTAAAACTCAGTCCTCTCAGTACTCACCACACATCACACACTGTGCCGACCCCTGAACACAAGCCCTGCACTGCTTCTGGCCTCCCCCTAGGACAGCGTGCTCCTCGTCTTGCTGCGCAGAGGACAATGCAGTGAAGTGCCAAGGTCATGGCTAGGAATGGCAGGCCAGGGCTTGGAATCCTGACCCCAAAGCACAGTTCTTACCTCTTTTTAAGTGAGAAGAGGTATTGTGGATGGGGTGGGGAGCCCCATGGATACAGCCTGAAGTCTATCATAATGCAGCTACTTTTTACTTTGGAGAAGAGAAAAATCCAGTTGTCTTTATGATCTCAACTAGAGAAAGCAAAGATGAATATGGCCCCGGTGACTGAAGGGACACAAGTGTCCATTTCCACTTTCTCTGCCCTGCCCCCTCCCACCCCACCCCCGCACTTTCACGGCTATCTTTTAGAACAGCCTTAGCTCCTTCATACCATGCATGCCGCATGGCACTTTGTACTATCTCCACTGGGCTCTCCTGCCCTGCCTGCTGCAGGCCGGCCACCTCCAGCGCACATCCCACCCCCATCATCCTCCTGTTTCCAGTTCTCCTGTGAACAGCCTGTCCCAGCCAAGAAGTTAGAACAGTGCTTATGAGACACGTCCTGTTATAATCAGACAGGCAAAGTGGGACGTGGTCATTTTTCCTTCTCCCATAAGGAAAAACTAAGTGGACAAGAGAAAAAAAACACGTAGCATTGACACTCACCCATGGGAGGGGATGACAGGGAGCAGTGGCAACTGTGGCCAACCAGAACACCCTGGAAAAGGTGGCTGTTGTTCAGCTCAGGCACATCAGCCCTGTGGGTCTGCAGGTCTGGTGAAGCCTAACCTTACTTGCTGAGGGATGCCAGGATCAGATACATGAAATATCTTGATTTCTACATGTTGGCAACTAACCCCCTCTTCCCATTTGAAAGTAAAACTCATAAGTGAGGTGGACTTGGCCGGCCGTTCTGTGTCGATCCTTACAGCACACAACATACTCGTTACCAAAGTCCTCATGCTTCCCAGCTGCCCTGGGGCCCAGTCTCAGGTTCTGATCCAAGGCGCGTGAGTGGAAGAGCCAGGAGTTGCCTGCCTTCTCCCATGTTTCTGTCCCAGCCAGGTGGCAGTGTGGAGTCCAGCTGGGGCAGGTGATACAGTGAGGCTGTGAGACCGAAATGGTTGCTCTTTCTTCCTCAGACTTGAGGAGGAGGAGAAGGAGGCTGTGCTGAGATGTAGAACCTGCCAGGGGAGGCAGCCAGGGATCTCCACCCAGCATGCAGCTCCCTGACCTGCGGATCACTGCAGACCTTTAGCACTGCTCAGTTTTCAAAGTGCACTTTAACCCCTGTGTGACTTTGAACTGACACTGTGAGGCAGGCTAGGTAAGACCCTGTCTTTTCACAGGGAGCAAACAGGCTCAGCAAGGAAAGCAGAACTGCCCCAGGGTGTATGACAAATGTGGTGGGCTTAACTCTGGGCTCCCAGGTGGACTCCCTCTCCAGTGCTCATCCCACCTGCCAACTCCTGAACTAGCCTTTACAACACAGCTGCTAGGCACTCTCCAGTCGCCTGAGCTGGCACAGGGACAATCATGCTTCTCCTGCCCCTGTGTAGTTGCTCCAAGATCGATCTCTCACCTTTCCTGTTGACTTGGTGCCCTTCCAGATGCAGAAGTAGCAGATGGTCCAAGCTGCCAGGAGACACAACGCCAGCTCCCAGCGGAGGTTCCCGATGTGCTCAATCCCATCAGAGATGGCCAGAACGCGGCGCCTGCAGAAGAGTGTGCAGAGTCATGGGGCTGATGATGGCCCCCAGAGGCCACAGGCAGCAAGAGCAGAGCTGCAGAGTGGTAGGCCACACACCACTTGCCCACCCCACCATTCATCGGCACATTCTCTGCACCAAAACTCGTGAGGGGCACAGTGTCTCTGAGGGAGGAAGTGCCACCTTCCCCTGTGGATCCACGCTGGCAGGGAGGTGACAGAGGGCGCAGACATAACATACAGGGCTCGGGGAGGGTGAGAACACCCCACTCATGGTACCCACCAGGCTGCAGTGACACTTGTAAACATCCCACGTCCCTAAGAGGGTGCTTGACATCCCAGTCCTGCTGAATTTAAGGCGGACACAGGACTTGCTTTGGCCACTGTTTGACCAGCAAAGGGCCATATATCACCTCAGACAGGAACAGAGTGGCCTGGTTCCCTGCTCCCCTTTCCCTACCTCTGTTGCCACTATGGAGGCTGGTGTCAGCATGAGCCTCCTCTGCCCTGAGTCAGGGATGGAGTGTAAGCAACAGATAAACTTTGTTGTTCTGGGCTACCGAGACAGCTGGGGTGCTTGTTACTGCAGCACAGCCTAACCTATCCTGACTGCGGCAGGGCATCCAGGAAAGTAGAAACATTCTATATCCTAGCAGTAGAAACATGTGAGCCACACTTTGAAGGACGAGCAGACTGAGCCAGGAGGGAGTAGAGATTGTTGCAGGTTGACGGAGATGGAGCACGGTACACTTGGGACACAGTGGGTTGGGGGCACAAGGGACCAGAAAGAGCAGCAAAAAGGGCAATCAGTGGTAGCACACAGGGAGCTTGGCTGTCACACTCAGGGGCAGAGGCCAGCAGGGCCAATAGGGAGGTGCAGCCTTCCTGCGGGCCCATCAGTTCGGCATAGCCAATGTAGGCCTGGCTCCCAGAGCCCATGCTGGGGCTTCTTTTCTTTAAAGTCAAATGTGCCATGCTCCATACTGTGCAGAGCCATGGCACCAACACAAACCCCTCCAAACGTGCTCAGCAAGACCCTCTGGACTGCCAAAGCACCCCCACCCCAGCCCCGTGCCAGTCGCCCAGCGCTGTAAGAGCCTCCTCTGGAAAAAGAGCTCCCACCCCACCAAGCATGAAAGCTACCCTCAGTGTCTGTCTCCCTGGGAATCCACTTGGGTCTGACTCTGCATTAATTACTCAATGCCACCAATTAGCACCGGTCGGCAGGCTCCCTCTGGCCCCAAACCCTCCAGGAGAAATCAGGCAGGCCCCCAAAGAAAATCAGACTGTGTGCGGCCATGGAGTTGCTCGAAAGGCAACCCGCCCAGACTCAGAGCCAGAAGAGGGAGCTGCACCTACTGCGAGCCAGGCTCTCCAGGCTGGATGGCAAGGATAGAAGGGAAAGCCTGACTCTCGCTCTCTTCTAGAGTAAGAAGGACGAAAAAGAAGCCCCAGTGATTTGAGAGGAAAGAGGGCAGTAACCACAACCATTACTGGATTTGTGTCTTAGGTCTAGTTTCAGCTTTAGTTTTTTTTTAAACCCCAGCGCTTATTAAAGGAAACCTTTAGGAGAATCTATAACAGCTACTCTAACAGAGTAGTGTGAACCAGGGCAGGATCCTGGGGTGCTTGCCAGAAACCAACATTCTCGAGTGAATCCCAATTTGTGCAGAAACACCCCATCAGCTGCGTTCTGCCATGTCCCTCTGAGGATTTCTCATGCGCAATAAAGTCTGAGCACCACAGAAGCACATTTCCTGGCCACCAAGGAATGAGTACAAATGGCATGTGAGTCACTCTTAATCTTTAGTTTTCTTTCTTGGAAGGAGTGTCGGGGGAGGTCTCCGCTTCCTCCTCCTTTTCTTGGCTCAGCTACACTCATCCTCCAAGGGCCAGCTCACATATCACTTATCCCAGCAAGCTCTTCCAGACCCCTGCAGCAATCAGGACAGACTAGGTTGTAATACAACAATGAGTGTCTCCAAAGATCTCAGTATTGGAAAGCAACATTCTTGGTCACAATACACGGATCCTTTGAGAAGTTACTGTGCACGTGGGCTTTCTCCCCAGAAGCACAATCACTCTCAAAGTTCTGCAGGAAATTTGAGGGTGTCCTACTTTGTTGTTCATATCAAGACCTCATGGCTGACATGCACCTACTGCCTTACGATTGCCAACCAACACACTCCCAGTGACAAGAAATTTCTGCAGACAGAAATAACCACAGGTGTCTCCTGAGCCTTCTCAACCCAGACTTGAGCTAATCAGGAAAGATACATCAAGCACAGGACCCCAGGGTGCCCCCCCGCAAACACATGGGTGCCTTCTTGTTGATGTGGTTGTCCTCTGAACCAGGGGCCTGAAAGCTAAAGCCACATGGGGGCTGGGGGCAGGGAGAAACAGGCAGAGGGCCTTCAGCCCAGAGAAGCTGGCTCTCTCCCTTCTCCCCCACCTTCTGGATGCCCCGATCTTCGGAGCTGGGCTGTTTGCTCCATCCTTTCTGGCTTCAATAACTAATCTCACTTCTAGAAGGGGAAGCAGGGGCCTAAATGTATGGAGGTGGAATTTACTGACACCGATGTTGACTAGGAATGGACCTTGGGTTTCTAGAGAAGGGGGTCATAGCAGGTGGCTTCTCAGCCCTATGGGGTGGTTCTGAAACCTCTGGGGTGGTCTTTAGGAGTATGGGGGATGGGTGAGGCTTCCCACTGAGGAAGGCACAGATCTTCCTGAGAAAAGCTTCCTTAATACCCCTCACCCACAAAGTGCCAGGACAGAATACAAGTCTGAATAACGAAGTCTGCGGCTCACACACTGGCCAGCAAGGGCCCAGGAAGGGACTTCCCAACACTAACCAGGAAGTGGGAATAGTTGAAACTAGCAGAGCCTTTCAGGGGGATCCATGAGTGTGAGTCATGTTTATTGGGCACTAGTCTATGTCAATGCACCTTCCATGTGTGCTCTTCGTGAGTTACCCTTTTCAGGCCATAGTAGCACATTCCTGCAGAGCTGTCCCCAGAACTCAGAGGTGCAGCTCTCAGCTCTAACCCTAACCCTAACCCTAACCCCTAACCCCTAACCCTAGCCATAGACAGAAATGGGTGGGGCTCAAGTTCTAGTTCTCCTTGCCAGTGGCTTCCCCTTGGGCAGGTGCCATCACCTGGGCAGGTTTCAGCTTCCTCTCTGGACATGGGAATAGGCTGTCTCCCTTCAGTGTATGCATCTAACACATAATCCTTATCACCATGTCAAGGATGGGGAAAGCAAGGTGTAGGCAGGCTCAGGAGCTTCCCCAAAGTTACAGCAAGCTCCAGACCCTGGGATTGGATCTGGGGTCCTGGCTGCAGGACCCACACTTTCAGCCTGAGCCATCACAGCCCCAGGATTCCTCTGCAATCCTGAACTATCCACTAATCTCTTTTCATCTTTAGAGAGTAAGGCTCTGGTAAATGCACAGTGTCTCCCATATCTCATGTAGTACCTAAAAAGGAGAGCATAGCACCTGTCACTGTGCATGTATTGATTTACTCACTTATTGAAGTGCCATCTGCAGGCTGAGCACTCTGACAATCCTGGTGGTCCATAAAGAGCTGGCAGCTGCCTGGGAAAGGTAGATAGAGCAGAGTGGAGAGCAGAGGTGGGGAAGCTCAAGGCATAGCAGGGGGCCCTCCTGGGGCCCGACCAGATCAGAATGTGGGAGGTGGGGGTCCTGGGGGAGGGAATCAAGCAAAATAAATGGGGCACATTTGGAGGAAACCCTCCCCAAGGCCCGAGTAGGGAGGCTGGAGTGAGATCACAGCAAGGTCGAGAACGGTAAGGCATGCATGACTGCTCAGTACAGCAGAGGTGGGGCAAGGAGGGGGATGGCTGAATGGCTGGAGCTGCATCCCAAGGGTGTTGAGTACCCATCTGTGTCAGGAAACTATTAGCCTAGAGCAGGAAGAATGGGTGGTAAAAGAGAGGGAGCCCAGGGTGCCTGGTGGGTACACAGGGTTTTGCTGACAATAAATGGAGAGGGCTTAGGTAGCACAGTGGTAGTAGAGAGGGGTGGGTGGATTTGAAGACAGTAGAGGAGTAGGGTAGAGGGCAAAGCGACAAGTGGCCCCTCATTCATGCTTTAGGACAGGTGCAGGTAGCACGGCCAGGTACCTGCAAAGCTTGAAGTGAAGCAAAGAAGAGCTTCCCACCTGAGTCCTTCATGCTGTTCTGGCAGTGGGGGAGAAGGGGACCCTCAGGACCCCAGTATGGCAGGGGCAGAGAAGAATGGAGGGGAGGGAGAGCAGGAGAGAACAGAGGCAGGGAGGACTAGGGGCCAGTACTCCAAAGGCAAAGCGAGAAGGAGTCTGGGCTGGAGAGATAGGGGACAGCAAGGCCAGCAGAGATGCTCGGTTGGTGGCATCCTGGGTGTGCAGCAGGGGTGGGGGCCTATGGGAGGTGGCTGCCATAGGACATTCAGATCTGGTGTGTGGGAGGTAAGGCCACTAAGAGGACCACAGGCACAAAGACTATCCACCTTCTGTGCTTTCATGGGAAGGGACCTAGACTGGGGGGAGAAGTCCCAGATGTGAGTGGAGATGGGGGTGAGAGGGGAGGAAAGCGGTGACAGCTCAAGGCACAGCAGGGAAAGAACCCAAGGGGAAGTGTCCTTCCCACAGTGCTGACAGGAACAGGACTGGAAAAGCAATAGGTCAGCCTCAACCCCCACCCCCCCGTGCTTCCTTAGTGAGGGTCCGGGGTCTTCTGTGGCAGGCGCTGGGAGCAGCCTCAGGTACCCTCCTTCAATCCACACTGAAAATGACTGCTGCCTACAAATAGCTCAGTGTGCACCCCGGGATATCCCTGGGACACTGGCAGTGCTCATTTCCCATATAGCAGAGTATGGTGTCTGCACAGAAGCACACCCGCAACCCTGCCAGAGACTACACCATCTCCAGCTCAGTCATGCTGCCCAAAGTGATGTGCGCGCCGTGCAAGTGGCTGCTGGGCTGTATCGCTGGGGGAGCCAGG